TTTTAGTAACGTCACCCATTTTTAAATTTAAGACATGCACATAACACCATACATAAATCTGACCCGGGGAGCCGCTGTTTAACCAGGTATTGAATCCATTGTATTGACTTTGCATATTTGAGGCTCCATCAATTACTACTTTTATGCCCTGATATCCCCAGATAAATATGCTCGAAATTTGTATATACTAAGGAACCTTGTTTGATTTGAGGCTTCGATAAATGTCAGACAAAATGAACTAAACAGTTTTTGTGTGTTTGCCAGTAACAAGGCCGATTGTTTCTGAAATAAAACTTCTGTTAATTAATTTAAACGTTTAGATCAAATTTGTTTTGCTTCAGTTAAAATTTAAAAAGTGACTTCAAAAAATTTGATAAGATATTCAAAAAAAATAATTATAATTGTTTTAAGTTTCTTTACTTGGCTCACTCATAAGATATTCAAAAAAAATAATTATAATTGTTTTAAGTTTCTTTACTTGGCTCACATTGGTTACTGTTCAATTTATATCGAATGTCAGAGTTAGGATAAGAGGTAACAATTTACTCTTAGTTACATTTTAGTTTACCGTATATTATAATAATCAATGGAAAATAAAATGTAACTTAACTAAACATATGATTTTTCTATGGCAACCGGCCAGACGGGAATCTCCCGGTATCCCGGCGGCCGAGTCCAAACCTAGTCATGATTGAATAATAAATTTAAAAAAGACTGGTTTTCATTGACACTTTAATGCAAAATGCATTTCTAATTGATCTCTGGCTCTACCCCTAACCCTGACCCAAGCCATGTATATTTAACTGCGCCAATCCCTATTTGCCAATCGATGCATGTACATTTATTTACGCAAATCCTGTTTGTCAGTCGATGTATGTACATCCTAAAATGTGAATTTAGTTTAAATATGTTTAAATTTTGACGACAATAAAAACCGGGTTGCGTATTTAAAAAAATAATTTTTAAATTTTTGAAAACAGTGTTAAATTAATTTTTAAAAAATATGGCAATTATTTGCGTTTTTTGTTGTGGTATTTTATACTTTAATATTAAATTAAATCACTATCCTCAAATTTTCAGATCTATGTTTTCATATGAATCTGAATTAGTATAGTTTATTCTATCATAATCAATCATAAAAACAAAGGGTAGGGGTTGCCATTTTTAAAATGTTTTTCTTTAAAATGTTTAGCACAAATAGCTAAATTTTTACTGGGGGTTTAACTTTTGATTGATAGTTTAACATAAGTTTCAAATGATAAATACTACCCACTGTTTAAATAAGAAAGGATTATTTTCTGTAAACCCTAAAATTGAATGCTTTTCAGCAATAAAATCAAGTTGATTCTTTCTCTTTTTATATCCAGTTTTACAGTGCACTACAGCACATGTATTAACCATATTCTGAATATTTAAACAAACAAATTTATAAGACATTTAAGAAAGCCCAAAAGTTACCCATCTAATTTCTCCATCCGAAAAGCAAGATATCCGGCCGTGTCAATATAGTAGGCCGTTGTAAAGTTTATTTGCTGCAGTCATTCAAAATATTAAGAAAATTTTTTTTTTTTATTTTTTTTTAATTTTAATTCACCTCCTCAAGGCCGAGAAGGCCACTACAGACGAGGAGGCTACTTATTGTGGTTATAACCCTCTCTCAACTCTATAACTCCGAAACACGAACCTTGATGAACAAGGCCGCTGCGCGGAGAAACTAGTTGAGCGCAGTACTACCAGGGACGTGGTGGGGATCGAACCATTCGTTTATGAAGCGAGCGCTCTATCACTACACCACTACTTAGCGAAAGTTTGTTGTTTTATTGCTATTTTTTTATAAAAACTTGACCCTCTCACTCGTTTAGCATGCAAAGAAATTTTTCATTTTATATATAGTTTTTTTAACCACTAAACAATTTGTATTATTTTATTTGTTATGTTTCAAAATACAAATCTTAGACCGTCATCAGACCTAAAGAAATGATAATGTAAAAGCTGTTTAAACATAAATCATGTTAAAAAATAGTTTAAAATTTAGTCTAAAGATGACATCCATAAAAACGAATGTTTTATTTTTAAATTTCTATTTTCTCATATCTTTTACTGTTTTTTTTATTCAAAATTTACGGATTGTTTTAGTTTTTTAAATGCCTAATATATAGACACTCCCGTTTCTTAAGGAATCCTTTATATATTAGACTTCATAATTATATTTCAGACCCTTCTGCTTATCGAAATTCCCCCGTATATTTGACAGGTGAGAGTATAAGTTTGTTTTATGTATTTCGAACATTGCAAAGTAGGTTATATTTATATCATTTTATTATTTAGTTTATTATTGAGTACATCTAACTGCAAATCACCAACAATTTCAGACTTACCATCACCATCATAATCTTCTAAAAACAAATAATTATTATACACAAGAACACCTATAGCCAAGAGTATAATATGGCTTTCACCTGTTGAAATTAAAATATTCAGCATACTTGACAATTATCGTAAGGAGCAACGACACACTCGAAATCCAAATAAAAAAAAAGAGCATTCTTTTTAACAGATAGAGGGAATTAAATAACTTAATATTAAAACGTATAAGCAACCTAAAAAGAATGGGGAAAATTTTTTTAAAACAACAAACAAGCTTATTTGTTAATGCATATACAAAACTTAATGAACCATTTTGACAATCACAATTAAAACTGCAATTTGATAAACTTGTGTTTAGACACAAAAAATGATTTTTATATTAACCCTAAATCTATTTGTACAACTAATGTGTGCTTTTAATGTATTGCGTGTTTTTAATGTAATGCGTGCTTTTAGCTTCTTTAAATTAGATTAATGTTTGTAAAGATTGTTGCGCCATTATTAGGGTTATGTTGTCACTAAATAAAAAAGTATTCTAAAAAATTCCTCGATTCTGTAAGGAAAAAGTAGAAAACTTATTACGGAACAAATAGGTGTTGCATTAAGTATCTTATTTATATAAGAATACTATACTTTTTTCAATTAAAACCAAAAATTATCAAAGCAATAAAATATATCTCAGAACTAAAATCAACTATAAACGAGGTTGCCAATTAAAGTTAATAAAGTTTTTATACTTTCCGGTCTTAACTTTACATGTATCCTGATAGCAATATACTTTTTAGAAAAAGTTAAAAAAAAAGTGAGAGAAAGAGTAAAAGTTATATCATAATTATCATAATTACCATAATTATCAAACTCTAACGTAACGTGTTTCGAACATTAAGAGTCTAAACATGATATCGGATTTCCTAACTAAATCAAAAGTTAGTTATGTTTGTTATAATGGTCATCTAACGGATCGTAATTTGTGAAATAAGTGACTGTTTCAAAACTGTTAAAAAACGTTTTTACTAAAACAGTTTCCGTACCTTTAATTATAAATGGAAACATTCGTTTTATCTTATCATTGCAAAAAGAGTTAAAACTAAACAGATAAACTGATCATAAAAGGTAAAAAAAAAATAAAAGTTTTTAAATGTTGAGATTTTTTTTAAATTTGTAATTGCTTTAAAAAAAAATACAAAGAAATAAAAAGTAATTTTAAAAAAAATTACATTTAAATTTGTTTAGAGTTTTTGTTTTAACTTCAACTATGGCGAACAAAATTATTCTACATTCGTTTTTAATTTCTTTACTACATCAGATATCTGCCAACGTAATCAGACGAGATATTTTATTATGTAATTTTATATATTTTTTTTTCGCTTATGTTCAAAATTTACAAACATGTAACATTTAGCTTAAAAGATTTTATTCATAGTTTCGTTAGACCAAAGTTCTGCATCAGAAAACACCTTTAATCAATCATCAGCCGTTCAAGAAATACCGTCTCCAAAATTTCTTGTTACAAACACAATAGCTTCAGATAAAAATTCACCAGGGAGTTTTTCAGTTGAAACGGTTCAGCTGCAAGCATCGTCAAACGAATCCGTAATGGCAGAAACTTTTACTGCTCCGACTCAAGCCAAACTAATCTTGAAGAACTTTGTTTTACAAGAGTCACTTCAACCAGCATCAAGTTGCAATGTTGCCAACTGTCTTTTCCCTTTATGTAGATGCGCGGGAACAGATATACCTGGCGGATTGTCAAAAGTTAACACCCCGCAAATGATCTTATTAACTATGGATGACGGGGTTACATCAGAAAACTACCAACTTTACAGTGAGTTACTTAGCGGCATGACTAACTTTAATGGCTGTCCAATCAAAGCCACGTTCTTTGTATCTGGTGATAATACCGACTATGCTTACGTCAAGAAATTGCAACAGAGCGGTGAGTAATGTTTTTAGTTTTTAAATTAAGTACTACACCTTCACAATTCTTAAAACTTTTTTACGCCAAAACGTTTGAAGCTAAAGGAAGCTTTCCACAAAACAATAATAGGGAAAGTTTCTTTTACTTCAGGTCGTTCAATGAAAAGCTTGAAAAGCGATCATTAGCTTTAGCTTTGTTATACGCGTTAGTTTTGTATGAAGTTAGATACTTTAAAAACCTTTCCGTTTTTACAAAGTTATTTTTTAAACAGCCTATTTATACAACATCTTTGTCTTCATGCAAGAGCGTTTCATACAACTCAAGTTTTTTTTTAACATTCTTTGATTTAAATGCATTCCTTTTTGCTTGTACTACAATTTGTAATTTTCTCATCTTCATTTAAAAAGTTTTCCTTTTCACAAAAATGTCGTTATATTAAAGAATACTCTTACGTTTTATAGGTCATGAAATAGCAGATCATTCGATGACTCACAAGTTTCCTATTGATTGGTGGAGTACATCAGTAAGTTTTGCAAACACGTTAATTAGTTTTCAACTGTATATTTTTTTACGTAAAAACATCATCTGTAGATCAGATGAACTAACTATTTGAATGTTTTTTTATATTTGAGTCAAACAATTACAAACAACAGTCTAGATTTTACCTAGGTTGTTTACGTGTTAGTCATTTTTTTAAATTCATTTTAAGGCTTTAGAAGATCTGCAAATGGAGATTTTAACACAAAAAAATACTATTCAGCAAGAAATTGGAACAACCACACTTGGTTGGAGAACTCCGTTTCTTGCAAGCCAAGAAAACACGTTTAAAGTGTTAGCTGAAAACCAGTTTTTGTATGACAGTTCGTTGGTAACCTTTCCGGGTACACGATGGTGGCCATATACGTTGGACTACTTGCCTTCTTTGCCATGCTACATGACAAACTGTCCAAAAGGTAACAATTTTGTATAAGCTATTGCAATTCTTCTATTGATCTATCGTGTCTTTATTTTTCTTTTCGCATTATTAAGTTACCCTTTATTTATTTTTTATTGAGCTATTGCATAAAAGTGCATTTAAATCAAACACATTTTTTTTAGATGCGTATCCTGGATTATGGGAAATTCCGTTGGTTACATTGCAATGCGACGAATCAGCTACAACATTCGCCTCAATGCTCGATGAATGTACAAATTTAGATACAGAAGAAAGCACGTATAACATGTTAATGATCAATTTTAAGCTTCACTACGAAGATAGTAAGCAACCGTTCCCCATGTTTGGCCATTCAACTTGGTTTGATAATGCACCTTACCGTAAAGATGGTTCGTAGGTTTTTTTAAAGTGATCAGTATCCAGGTTTATCTCACAGTAAACAAAAAGGTTTACGGTTTCTTGAAATTCGATTTTTAATTAGTTAAGAGAGCACTTTTTTATTTTTTAGCTGTCATAAGGTTTATGAACGATGTTCGAAAGTTCAACGACGTTTACTTTGTTACTGCCCAACAGGCAATTCAATGGATAAAGTCGCCGGTCGGTATCGATGAAATGCCGTTTTCATGTGATCGTTTAAAAAAAAATCAAATAGAAAATGTGTTAGTTAACAGTGTTCAGCTACAAATTTCTCCAAACGAATCCGTAATGACAAAAACTTTTACTGCTCCGTCTAAAGCCGAATTAATCTTGACGAACTTAGTTTTACCAGAGTCACTTCAACCAGCATCAAGTTGCAATGTTGCCAACTGTATTTTACCTTCATGTAGATGCGCGGGAACAGATATACCTGGCGGATTGTCAAAAGTTAACACCCCGCAAATGATCTTATTAACTATGGATGACGGGGTTACATCAGAAAACTACCAACTTTACAGTGAGTTACTAAGCGGCATGACTAACTTTAATGGCTGTCCAATCAAAGCCACGTTTTTTGTATCTGGTGATAATACCGACTATGCTTACGTCAAGAAATTGCAACAGAGCGGTGAGTAATGTTTCTAGTTTTTAAATTAAGTACTACACCTTCACAATTCTTAAAACTTTTTTACGCCAAAACGTTTGAAGCTAAAGGAAGCTTTCCACAAAACAATAATAGGGAAAGTTTCTTTTACTTCAGGTCGTTCAATGAAAAGCTTGAAAAGCGATCATTAGCTTTAGCTTTGTTATACGCGTTAGTTTTGTATGAAGTTAGATACTTTAAAAACCTTTCCGTTTTTACAAAGTTATTTTTTAAACAGCCTATTTATACAACATCTTTGTCTTCATGCAAGAGCGTTTCATACAACTCAAGTTTTTTTTTAACATTCTTTGATTTAAATGCATTCCTTTTTGCTTGTACTACAATTTGTAATTTTCTCATCTTCCTTATAAAAAGTTTTCCTTTTCACAAAAATGTTGTTATATTAAAGAATACTCTTACGTTTTATAGGTCATGAAATAGCAGATCATTCGATGACTCACAAGTTTCCTATTGATTGGTGGAGTAAATCAGTAAGTTTTGGAAACACATTAATTAGTTTTCAACTGTATATTTTTTTACGTGAAAACATCATCTGTAGATCAGATGAACTAACTATTTAAATGTTTTTTTATATTTGAGTAAAACAATTACAAACAACAATCTAGATTTTATCTAGGTTGTTTACGTGTTAGTCATTTTTTAAAATTCATGTTAAGGCTTTAGAAGATCTGCAAATGGAGATTTTAACACAAAAAAATACTATTCAGCAAGAAATTGGAACAACCACACTTGGATGGAGAACTCCGTTTCTTGCCAGCCAAGAAAACACGTTTAAAGTGTTAGCTGAAAACCAGTTTTTGTATGACAGTTCGTTGGTAACCTTTCCGGGTACACGATGGTGGCCATATACGTTGGACTACTTGCCTTCTTTGCCATGTTACATGACAAACTGTCCAAAAGGTATTAGTTTTGTGTATGCTATTGCGATCCTTTTAATGATCTATCTTGTTTTTATTTTTATTTTTTTTGTTGTATTAAGTTATCCTATATTTATTTTTTGTTAAGCTATTGCATAAAAGTGCATTTAAATCAAATCCATTTTTTTAGATGCGTATCCTGGATTATGGGAAATTCCGTTGGTTACATTGCAATGCGACGAATCAGCTACATCGTTCGCTTCTATGCTCGATGAATGTACAAATTTAGATACAGAAGAAAGCACCTATAACATGTTAATGATTAATTTTAGGCTTCACTACGAAGATAGCAAGCAACCGTTCCCCATGTTTGGCCATTCAACTTGGTTTGATAATGCACCTTACCGTAAAGATGGTACGTAGGTTCTTTAAAAATGATCAGTATCCAGATTTATCTCACAGTAAACAAAAAGGTTTACGGTCTCTTGAGATTTGATTTTTAATTAATTAAGAAAGCATTTTTTTATTTTTTAGCTGTCATAAGGTTCATGAACGATGTTCGAAAGTTCAACGACGTTTACTTTGTTACTGCCCAACAGGCAATTCAATGGATAAAGTCGCCAGTTGGTATTGATGAAATGCCGTTTTCATGTGACCGGTAATTTGCATTTCGACAGCATTTCAAGACTATCTATTGTTCACAAAAAAGGCTCATAAATAGCACTTTGTTAGAAGACTTGTAAATAGCACTTTGATAAATAACAAGTTTTTTTGACCACTGTTTTATGTATGTAGTATGTAGTTTATTATTTTTTTACTCTGAAAAATTTGTTTGTTATTTTATACCCACACGCGCAAACCTTTGGTTTTGTATGCTAGATTTTTTAAAATGCGGCTATTTATCGCAGGTTTGGATTGCTTTAATTAACCAATTGTTGTTTATTTTTACATGACTGAGGGGATCACTAGAAGGTAGTCACATATAGGTTTTTTTATTTTTATTTTGTGGGGACATCCTTCTTTTAACTATTTAACTCCAAAACACAAACCGTGACGAGAAACGTTGCAGTGCAGAGAAACACATTTAATTAGATAAAGTTAACGTCTCAGATAAAGATAACGTCTCAGAGAATGTTCCCATGCACCACGAGCATAATAAGTATAAGCAGAAGTAGACTAATTACGTGTGTACGCTGATAATTGATAATTAAAAAAAGGCTGAAATAAACAAGATGGTTATCTATTCTCATCAGTATTCTCAAGATAAACTTATTATTTTTACTGTTTAATATAGATTTTCCTGTTACAATTTTTATTTACTTGTTAAATACTATATGTAAAATTAGTGGGGGATTCCCAACGGGCATTTCTTTTAAAAAGTTACGTTCTTAATGTGTTTTAAATGTCTTTTAAACGTCTTTTAAACATTAATGTTTAAAAGACGTTTAAAAGACATTTAAAATACATTTAGATCGTGTGTGTGTGTGTGTGTGTGTGGTTTTGGGAAGGGAGGAGGAGGGGAGGTAACTGTACAGATGTTCATAAAACTAAAACGACTTTATAAACGATAAACAATTTTTTTTGAGAAGAAAACATAACTATAAAGTAACTGATTTATTTGATGGGTTAAAATTGTTTTCATGTAAAACTGTATGGCACTCCCTCCCCATTTGAAACCTACTCGCGCCGGCCCTTCTTTTAAAGATGTGTATGCATCAATATCTTCAGCTATGACGTCTAAACTAAAAATGAAAGACGTACATCTATTCTTAATAGAGATTAGATGATATCGCGTTTTCCTTACTTGTCTACACTCTACAAAACCAATTTTACATCTTCCATTTACATCAGCTTATGATGAGAGTAGTTTCAGTAAACCAAAGATCAAAAAATTATCTGCGATTAACAATGACAAAACAACGTCTTTTTAGATTAACATTAATTTTGTTCAAACGTGAGCTTCCTAAAAGCGTTTAGTTTTGAATTATCAATAAATCATTTTCCATTAACCTAGCGGGCACAGACGTCCATACAACGTCTATTCAATGCTTTATAGAGGTCACGAGTCCGTATAGTGTTCTTAAGACGTCCAATAAACTATCTGCACCCGCTGGAAATTAAATCTTGCAGAAAAAAATTTGTATAGCAGGAAAATAAACTTCTTTCTTAATGCTTGCGTTTAACAATACGTATAGTGTAAATACACTTTTATATTACCAAACCATTGCAATAATATTAAATGTTTCTTTTTTTTTAACAATAGTTGTTCAACTTAGCAAACTTAATCTGATTTGACAATCAGCTGACTTTAGGTGCCATAGGATTGGTTACATTGAGCATAGCAGTTTTAAAAATTGGTTCTTTAAATAACAAGGAATTATCATTGTCTATAATGGCTTGATAGACTGAGTCAGGTGCTGTTTTTTATCATGCAATATACGAAAGATCTAAGTGAAACAAACCGGTATTAACGCACTACGCGCGTTTTCAGATTTAACATCTTTGTTATATTTGAGGAATTTAAACATTGCAAAAAACTGTCTGATAGTCAAGCTTTAAAAAATATTTCTAATTAAAAAACATTAAACTATATTCTTCCTATTTAACTGTTTTAAAAACACAATTAATGACTTGTGTGAGCTGGAAAACGTTTTTTCAGGACTCATTTATACGATTTGGCATTGAGTATATTAAATTCTCTAAAATATGTTTGGAAATATTTTTAAGTATTGTTGGTAAGTATTGTGCAACTCCTCAAGGCTCCTTGGTGCTTTCTTGGCAATCTGTTTATCAAGCCAACTCCATAGATTTTCAATACAATTTAGATCTGGGCTATTTGGTGGCCAAGTTAGACGCTCAATATTTTTGTTTTCGAACCATTCAGAGACAATTTTAGCCCAGTGGCATGGTGCATTATCTTGCTGAAAAATGAACGGAACGCTTTGCTCAAGTGCATCAATTGATGGTAACAAGTTGTTATTTAAAATATCAACGTAATAAAAAGAGTTGAGTCGACCATCAAATAATTTAAACATACCAAGACCATAATATGTCATGCAGCACCATATTCCGACCGACCCGCTACCTTGTTTTGTTCTTTGAACGATACAATCAAGATTATATTTTTCGGAAGGCTGCCTGCGAATCATAATTCGGTTTTTTCGGTTATCAACCTCGATATTCATCTCATCACTGAACATTACTGTCCTCCATTTTTCTTTAGACCATTCTTTGACACTTTGGCAAAATTCTTTTCGCTTTTTTATATGTTGTTTGTTAAGTCTCGGTTTTAGAACAGCTTTTTTCCATAGAATATTGTTAGCTATTAGTTTCCTACGCACAAATGATGCCGATGCTTGACATCCATTTGAAAGATTCCATTCCCTTCTTAATTCATGCGACGACATAGTTCGAATTTTTTTTGCCAACCTGATTAAAAGACGATCATCATTGGGTGTCGTCAAACGCGGTCTTCCAGAGCGATGCC